CAAATGTCAATGCCACATATGAAACAAACGGAAAACAAAACCATGTGAGACTGTGCATAAGTTGCGCGAGTGCAGAGTAGAAGAATTCTACTCTACAATGCATGTAATAAAGAAGGAAGAAAATGATGAAAACGCTGTTATTCTTGTCTTTGATTTCCAAAAGAATTTGTCTTTGCCCCATTTAACATTAGGGAAAGTCTATTAAGGATAAGTAAGGTACATGCAAATAGTATTTGACATACATAACCTTAATATAGAAGAAGCTATATTGTTTCACATTTTGCGAGAATGATTAGCCAAAAGATGCAGATACAATTTGCTCATGTTTATACTATTATTTTACTAACTGTATCCCAGAAACTGTGACAAAAGTTTACCTATTTGCTGACAACTGCGTTGGACAAACCAAAAAATCTGCGAACTTTTCACTTTTATTTATTTATTTGTTAGTATTATATTATTCGTTTTATTTTTTAAATTTATATTTTACTTTTTCTTGAATTTATTAACATTATTAGCCTAATTAAGATGCTATCCTACATAATAGAGCTAACAATTGAAATTTAATAAACAATAAAACAATTTGTAATTAAATATAGTTAATCACAGAATAGTGTTATAATTAAAAAGTTTCTTCTTTATCCTATAAACTTAATTCCATAATATAGAGATTCTCTTGGACTATCTTTTATTTCTATCTGAGGATTGTCACTAGTAAGAGAAATCCAATATTCTCTAGAGTCTTGTTACTACTAACTCCTGAATGTGCTTTGTTTGAGGAAATATTGTTTATCAATCACATTTTGTTAGTATTGTAAGCTATGAGAATTTTTATTGATTTCGTTCTAAATTGATAATTCTCTTGGGAACGACTAAAGAATTCTTTTCGATCCATTTTCGTATTTTTCATTACATTTTGATAAATTGATGTATTTTATTTCGGGTGTTCATTAGATTCGATTGTGCATTATAATAGAGAAACACAGTATTTAAATATAAGAGAATATAGTTAGCAATTATATAGTGAGCTTATATAAAAGTCGTGTTAAATATTGATATAAATTCGTTACAAAATTTAATACTGCGTTATTCCTATCTAATATATAAATGAGGATGTTTGTTTGTTTGTTCTCTATACACTCCTAAGCCGTTCGACCAATTGCTATGAAACTCGGCGGTTACGTGTACATACTTCTAACTTAGATAATGTTACCCACCCCTCAAGATATTTATTTAATTTCCGTAAATAAATTAATTTTTATCTACTGATTTACACGTAGTGCTATCTATTGACAAAAAAATTAACTAGATGTGATACTTACAAAAACAATGTATATTTTTTTAAAAAATGTATATTACATTCACTTAATTACTGTGACAGCTAGTACATGCCACTCGGATTTTTTCGTTTCTGAACGATACTCTCTTAATAAGTGCCGAATGGATAAAACAAACGAACACTTTATTATCACATAAAAGCAATTATTCTCGTATTTTTACAAGATTTTTTTTTATTTAAACAAGTTTTATATGAAGTCTTTCAGACTTTAAGATTAGGAACTTCCATCACATGCAGAGCCTTCACAACCTGTCTAACACGGATCACTTTTCAAATATTAATAGTAGACCAGTATTAACGACAACTTGTGGTTGAATTACTTCAATTCCTTTCCGCAACGGTCCGTTCTTTTTATCGGACCGAGGGATGGTGGCATTCGAATAGGAAAATTACATAATACTAGGTTACCAAAATCAAATACTATAATATAATACAATATAAAGGTTAGAAATACGAAAGAATCTAATAATCTTAATGTTTGTTGTTATATTTTGTCGGGCTCATCTGCTAGTGGTTGATATTTTAAAGAGGTGTAGAAAATCAATAGGTAGTATTGATTTTATTTTTAGAAATATATATCAAAAGTTTTAAAATATATTCATAATTACTTTTTATTTTATTTATTTTTTGAATAATTTTGTTAAGAGTAATCAATTAAATAAAAGAATAATTTAATAGCTTTTAAATCATACACTTATTCTTTGTTTATCATTTCTACAAAAGAGTTTATGTAAACAGCAATGCGTTACGAATGATTAATATAATATAAATAATGTATTATATATAGTTATAATAGATCACGTTATATCTTCATGTTTACAAAGAGAGAAAGAATCTCTGAAACAAATAGTATTGAATATATAAAAGTTATATTTTTAAAATAAGTTATTTCACGAATTGAATTCGGAGAAATATTTCCCTTTCTTTACTCTCTGACGTCTCAAATTGCTTGATCTATGGTCTGATTAGCTTGTAGACCCTTTATACACAATTGATTTTTAAAAATCGCACTTAACTATGCTAGTCTCTTGGTTTTGTAAGTGTATTTACTAGCTTAGCTGTCGTTTCATTTAAGTTATAATTAATTAACTGTAAACACAACATGTTAAAGATTTTTAAGAATAGATTTACAAGTTTCAAAATCAAATGATGTATATAAAGTTTCTTTGTGTATCCATTTTTAATAACATTTAGCTTTTTATAATCGATAACAATAAGCGGATTCTATTGTAAAGTTATAATTGAAATTTCTAATTATATATATATCTGAAATTATTGATTTAAATTATAGTAAACTCTCATTTCAAATAACATAATTTTAAATTGTATCGTACTTAAAACTAGACATAATAATTATAAATAAATTTTACTTGTCTTGTATTTGTTAAATGTCAATATTGTTCTGTGTGTAAATATTGAATATTTTGATAATTTTAATATATTGTTAATTAAGATACTACTTAGTATCTCTCCGATATCATAAAATTACCAAAAACCTAACAATACTTTTTGTTTCATATTCACAAAACACGTCATATTGTTTATGGCATTTACGATAATTGTCAAGGAGTGATCACCATCTTCCCTTGTATATAGACTTACGAGAGGTGTTAGATATCGTAGTATTTACGAGACTTTTTACATATAGTAACCTACAGTGTGCTTTATGAATACGAGACTTCGTATCTGGCAGCAGAGAGAATTCATAGTAACTTAACAATATATCAGCTGTTCGTGAATCCTGCCCTTGACTAACAAAAACTTTTTTACTGTAGAAATACAAATTATACCCATAAACAAAGTTAAAATTTTACTATTATAACCTAAATTAATTTTTTTCGCTTTTCTTCAGTAAAAGTCTCAACAATTTTCTGTGTATCGAGATTCATTTTACGAGTTTTTCTACTTATACAGTTGCTTATACATATAAAATATTACTATTATAGTAACGTTTATATATTTGTAATACAATCGGTGTAAATTAAAATATCCATACAAAAATACTAATTAAAATTATAAGCATGTTTATTGAATGATATTTATAATAAATAAAAAAATTCACGTCCAATAAATCATACTTCAATTGAGCATTATAAAATATCAAAATAATAAATTCACTTATATTTTTATTTATTTTGAGAAAAATAATTGTATTAAATACTTTATATCTTTTATAAGTTATATATTTTCATATTGTTATAGTACACTTCAATTTCATTATCCATATATATCATATATATCAAAATATATCTTCAAATACAATACATCTACAAATAAATATAAAAATAAAAATTACAATTGAAATAATAAATAAATTTTTATAAAAAACAAACAATAATAAATTCCATCAATTTATATACAAAATTATTTAACATTTATTACAATAGAAACATTTGGAAACAATTTACATATAGACATACAGATCGTCCTTTAAGATATATAATATTTTCCATTATTAATCATTTATATCGTTGTTATAAACTCAACCATAGCATATAAAACGTATTCATTGGTATATAACACATCAATTATATATTATTTACATATATCTTGAACAAATATTAATAATCATAGTATATTTTTAAAAATATTTTATACATGTTTTTAACATAGAAATAATACAATTATCTCAAATTTAAATCATTATTAAACTTAAAAATATTTATCTACTCTAAGTATTATATATTCTGTATATAATTATAAAACATATTCTAAAGATTATATGTGAGAAATTATATGAGTATTATGTCTACTTTAACAAATATGTATATATAGGCCTATATATTATAAAATAGACTTTATATTAGCAATAGACAATGGACACACTTCAAGTAACGACTGACTGTATGTATATAATATACAAGTAACGAATATATAATGAAACATTTGACAATTATGATTTAAATGTGACATAATTACTAAATTAAAAATAAAATTTTAGTTATTTTTTTTATACCAAAAAACATTAATGAAATACGGACGGATTATTTTAATGAAAAGTTTCCTTGTTCTTATATTATAAATTAATTTTTTTTTTTAGATTTATTACTTATTCCATATTCCAATATAAATTTTATAATTAACGCTATTAAAATTATATTTCTTTCGGCATTTATAAAGTGATTCAAAAGTCACGTTACCCGTATGAAACTGTTAATTAAAAGTTGTCATAAATAAATAAATTATACAATATAATCCATTTATTATCATTTCATAATGCAAAAAAATGAATTCTCTATATTATCTAAATATGGTATTATTATTTAAAATGATCTGCAGTAATGCAAGCTTAGATTTATTCACTATACTTGCAGACACTGCATAGTATTGCGCCTATAATATGAGCAATTTCAATAAATTCTTCATAAGTGACTTAAATCAGTTAGTCTTTATTCTCCCGCAAATAAAAATTTATTTATATTAATCTCAGCGACTTCTGGATTATTTATATACCAGAGGCAGTCTAAAGCATTGTTTAAGCAATTTATCTCAATTAAATATAGGGGTTTAAAAGTATTAGAAACGTTAAGTAATGCATTGCATAAGGTAATTTAGAGTGGCAGATAGGGAGTTTAGACAATTAGAAATAAAATTCATTTAATTTTTGAGATTTAAAACTTTTATGACAAGAATTTCAATATACTTTTTGGTTTATTTGTCTTTAAAAATAATTATTTCTTTGATAATGAACTCGCTGTGGTGAGTACCAACTGTTACGAACTGGAATTCTACTGTTAGAAGATAACAACGAAGATTGTCGTACACTGGAATCAACCTGTAAAAACAAACCAATTATTATTTAATAAAGTAAAAATAATGATATTATTTTAGTTACTTACTTCATGTGGTGTTCTTTTAATAGAAACTTTATGAGCTTTAACATTTAATATAGAAGAAAGAGAAATAGCTGATGTATCTGTTGCTACTGATAATGAAGGTGAAGGTCTCCAATTAATAACAAATTTTGCAATGTGTTGTTTAAATAATTTAGTTGTAAGCGTATACAGAACAGGATTTAATGCAGAATTTATAGGAAGTAAAAACACTGCAACCCAAGCATATAATTCTTCATTTATCTGTATTCCTACAATTTAATTTAAAATTTTAATACTTATATATGTTTATAATAATTTATTTATTAAAAATAATCTCACCTCCAACAGCTAAAAATTTAATGAATATCACAGGTACCCAACAAATCATGTCGGTGCCAACTATGAAAGCAAATCTCTTTGCAATTGTTCTCTCATATTGTTGTTGTGACGATCTCACGCCCATGCTTGATCTTTGGATAGCAGCAAACATTCTCACATATGAGAATAAAATAAATAAAAATGCCAAAGTATTTATACCGCAAAATACAAATAATGAATACTCCCAAGCCGCAGCAAAAGGATCGTGTATATGTAAAGGTAAACAAACTCCATTATTACCATAAAACTCGTTGCCAAAATAACCTAAATCAAATATAGGTAAAATAGAAATGATAGAAGCTACAATCCAAATAATGCTACTACAAATGAATGAAAATTTTACAGTTCTTCTTTTAAGACTTAATGGATATAATATGGACAGATAACGATCAATAGTAATTACAGTCAACATAAACACAGAAGCTTCACTACTTAAAGTGCTCAAAATTCCACAAAAATTACATTTCCAACTATGTCTCCAATGTTTGTCGTGATTGACATAATCGCCTCTAAATGCCATATCATGACCCGCTATCATAAATAAATAAATTCCCATAAGAAAATCTGCTACTGCTAAATTCTTTATATATATGGAATGGACTTCATTCGTTTCTTTAACTAAATGTCTTCCTACAAGAACGAGTAAATTGCCTAAACATGCCAAAAATGCAACTATCCATACACTTATTCTCAATATTAGACTATCCAGTAAGTGTGTAACACTACTTATTCCATCTCCTCTTGGCTCACAGACTCTGATATGAAGGGCGTAAGAACACATTCTGAAATCTTGAAAATATCTGTCAAAATGAAATTAAGAGATTATATTTTAAATTAATGATATATAATTAATATAAAAACATATATATATAAGAAAACTGATATCTTAAACATAATAATAAAACTTTAAATAAAAAGGCATTATGATTGATTTATCTGTTTAAGAATATTCTTTAAAATACGTAGTTAAACTTTTAATTTATTTCCTTTCAAAAGAGATAAGACGATGAAGTATAAAAGCATGAAAACTTAATTTTGAAATAAAGTTGGACTTTAGAAAAGTCCAACTTAAATGACAATAGTTGAGGAGGAAGGAATGAAAAGAAATGTCTTGTTTTTTTCTTCAACGGTACAAAACCTAATGATCCAAAGATAATTCAGTTGCTGATTTCATCTCTCTTAAATGATGTGGGATGACTTATCATAAAGATATTCATCTTAATGGCTTCGAAAGAGGAACACTTTTTGAATTAAAACTTTAAAGAAATGTTTATGACCAATAACTCTTCATAAAATTGAATATATATATATATATATATATATATTGACTCTGTTTATAAAGTTTAAAATTTAATAAAATATCCATAGAAATTTTTAAAACTTACAAAATTTATTTTAAAAATTTACACTGTTGTAAGGAATTTTCTGTTCAGTATAAGTTAAGAATTAAAGTATAATTTTAATGAATATATTTCAAAATTATACTTTAATAATTCAGAAAAAAGTAGGATATTTTACTTAAAATCCAACAAAGAATTTTTACATTTTTTCAGTATATTTAAAGCATGCAAACACATCTAAATGAATACAATATGTGGTTTAATATTACCATAGCATGTACTGTACTCAAAGTGAAAAAACTCATAAATACTCAAATAAAGTAAAAGAAAAGTATATTGCAATCGTATTAAGACTTTAAAATAAAATAATGTAAATTGAAAATACAGTTCTATATATATATATATATATTTCTTCTTCTTTCAACTAATTTATATAATAGTTATCTCACATGTTTTTATTATGGACAAATAGTAAAAGTTATGTAAAAATATCAATAAATAACTCTTCAAAAATACAATTTTAATAATTTCAATACTCTTGACTGAAATATTGATATTATTATGAAGAATTTTTCGATAAAATTTCGTAATTTTGGAAAATTTTGAAGACACTTTAGATATAATTGAATCTATCTGTCTACAACACCGATTGAAAAGGCGTTGTCTGTACTTAGAGGTATTCATAGTATTTGAACTATTTTTATCAAGGGAATATTCGATATATAGAATACTCAAATACGTTTTAGTATTCGAGTATTCGCAGATAATATTCGTCCATCTCTACTTTATAGAGAAGTGAAAAACGTCTCAATGATTTTTTCACTTTTCTGATTTTCCTGCATATATTAGTAAAAATAGTATCAAGTGTTAACCATTAGATAAGAAAAGCTGCTTAGGATCTATTTCAGTTTATCGTTAGGAAATCTTTACTTTAATTTCTATGAATATTGATAATGACAGAAAATCATTAAATCTCTTTAATTATGGTATTTAAAGTATCCCTATTCAACGCTGTATATACAGGTATTTAGTAATCCAAATGCAACAAAATAAGATGTAGTGACATTTCAGAACACGCAGAAGATATTTCCGTACCAAATGTAGTACCAAATTTACCATTATGACACTTTTGAGCGCTGCAAGCCGTGTGATCTTCGAGAACCAGCGATGGGCAGGTGATTAAATCCTCCATAGTTTAGCAAAACACAAGCATCTTTCAATGTTAAGGCCTTTTTATCTCTACTATTTTTATGGCATTTAATTTTTACACTAGTTTAAAGTAATAGCCTATATGTTGACTTAAAGACAGAGCTGTAATATAGAGAAACTATCCGTAGATTTCCGAAATTAAGGTGAGCATTTTGATACCATGATGAAATCGGGAGAAGTTGAACGAGAGATGGTTATAAAAGAGGAAAAAGTAACATCAAAAATACACTAAAAAACAGTTTATTTCTTTAAAATTGTTTGAAGTTATCGTATAAATTATAAAAATCAAAATTAAAGTTAAAGGGGAGCATGTTCCATTAACCAGGAATATATAATTCATTTTACTCTGTATTATATCACTATATCATAATATCGATATACAGGCAAATTCCAAAGACTTTTAAAGAATAAGTCTGTATTTACAGTTTCTAAATGTAACGCTGTATTTGACTGTTTCGGCTAAAATATGGCTGCCAAAGTGGTATTAAATATTCTTCCTCTATATTCAAGCTCTTTATGTCATCTTAATCGTGTGATTTTTTGGTCGTAGAAACACTTAAAAGTATTGTTTATCACGGTCATGTTTCAAATTTGGTAGCCTTAAAAGATATCACATTGCATGTGAGAAGAATCGCATGGAAACGGATACAATCGGATGTTAAACACATTGTTTTTTTTTCAGGTTTACATCTTCAAAATTGAGATCACATTGAGAATTTAACTAAAATTTGTTTGTAGTAAATAAAATTTTCTCTTATAAAAAGTTTTATTTGAAAATCTTTAATAAAAATATAACTTACATGTGTGTCAATGAAGTTAATGGAATAAACGTATCAGAATGAAGATCCTTCAGTTTATTTTTCTTTAAATTCCTAAATGAAAATAGATATTGAGTGTAAATCTGAAATTTTTTTTATGTTTTCAAAACAAAAATGTTAATTAATTTATAACTTAACATAAAAAGAATATAATTAACAACTAAACACAGACATAAAAAACAGCTTTATTTTCCATTAATTAGATAAAATATTAATTAAAAATATCATTTTACAACGTTTTCATTAAAAATTTTATAGATTCGATGTTAATATTAATTCTATTTATACCGTAATTAAAATTATGTTTGTAGGCTAAATAATAGGCTATTTGTGTGGCATTTCCTATTATATGTGTGTATCAATAAATAAAAGTTTTAATTGACTTACAATGTTTGCAAATTGATGAGTTGACTGAAAGTATTCCGTTTTATACTTATCAAATTATTGTTTTCCAAATCTCTAAAAATATAAAATATAAAATATAAAATTATTAATTAAATAAACATTTAATTACTTTAGCTTAAAACAATCCAAAACAATATTTTTTTATATAAATTTTCTTTTAAAAATATATTATAAAAATGAACATTTTAATTAAGTTAATTAACTTAATAAAATTATTTCAAAATTTCAGTGACCACAGGGTAAAATTACTTTAATATATATATAAAATAATTGACTTTTAAATTCAATTTTTATGCTATATTAAATATATATATATATATATATATATCTTGTACTTAAAATTC